GACGCTGTTACGACTAGCTGAGTCGTGATCTTGCCTATCATGAAGCCAGCTTCGTCGAAGTGTAGACGTCCTCGTCACAGATGCTGTACTTAGCCTTTGTCTGCTCTACAAGCTCAAACTAGCTCTTGATTAGGACTAGATCTTCACATAGAGCTCTCTGCCTATCGTACGCTCGATTGAAACGCGTCGTAAGACTGTCTGTACGCTTGACAAAGTTGGCTGGCCACTTCTGCCTAACCTGGCCAGCGCCGCGCGCAGCCAGCAGCTTATCAGCCATATCGCGCACAGCAGCATACGTGGGCGCAAATCCACGTAGATCTAGATCAAGTATATGATCAACTATCACCTCCTCTTCTAGCTTAGTGAGCTTCTTTGAGTTAGGCTGGCAATCGCGTCGAGCAGGTATACCAGCGCGTCGGTGGCGGATTGTTCGTTTAGACACGTTGTAGACAGCAGCAGCGCGACGATTACTTTGTGTTTAATAGAGATTAATAGAAGAAATAGCAAGCTGAATATCTGCTTTATTCAAAGCTAATTGAGTAGCGCTACGTTGAGCCATTGTTCGTTGAGATAGGAGAGGTGCGCAGGTTTGGTGGGGTGCGGCGCTCGCTTGCCTGCGGCGCTCGCTTGCCACATACGTTACTTCTAATAAAGTTTCTGTTTACATTACAATTAATCAATAATACCCTCGCATAAGCACAACACTTACCAGACCAACTTGCACATAGAAACATCGAACCAGTCGCGTCCAATGCGATAACATCCCTAGTGTCAACATAAACGGTCGCCTCCTTTCACCTGGGAAAAAGCAATCCATCCCACGCTCTTCCTTCTTCATAATCATCATCCTATTCTTTCCTTTTCCCTGCCCCTCACGCGTTTCGTCCTACTTTTTTTTTGTTCAGCCTTCTAGACCGAGAAAGAAACCATGTATCTACCCCTTTGCAGGAACCGCTTTTCCGTCACAATGCATGGAGAATAAAAACAAGCCATGTGGTTTCGAATTGCTTTGGTTATCCGTTTTTCCATAATTAGTAGGAGTAGAGGCTAAGTAGGGATGACAGCTAAGTACCTGGCTTTGATCCGTGCATTGGCAGTTTTCACTCGGATGTGCTTTTTGGATATCTTTAGATAGGGATGCTAAGTATGAGGCGGAAAGTGATAGACAGACATATCTTCGCTGAACATAGCTTCTAGAAGCATAAGACGAGATGCGGATTACTTTTGGAAAATCACGCTGTATCAAGTAAGGAATCACGATGCCAATGATTTAACTTGGATCTGTCTATAATTACATGAAAGTAAATACTGCGCCATCGTGACCGGAATGTCTCACCGTCCGACAAGCACACGCTGGCTCTTCCTCGTCTCAGTCACATAGTTCCTCTTCTCACCCGTCACAAGCAGTTGGACATGGCCCTTGGTCGTGGGTGCATACTTGACCGTTGCGCCCTGCTCGACGCTAGATGCTTTGCCAACAGGCTTACTGTTCAAAACCCACTGCGCGGTAAGCTTGACACCTGGATCCCAGCGGCCCACGCTCCCAGCTACTTCCTGGTCTACCTTGGCCTCGTTTGCGTCAATCTTCGGGTCTGCTTGACGTGCGACAGCGGCCCGACGACCACCGTATTTGATGACATCTTCCCAGACATTACCCCGGGTAGAAGGCGCGGTACAAGCAGCACAGAGCGGCTTGGGGCCGTCAGGAGCATGATCTTGAACCCATTTCTCCACCAACTCGAGGTAGCTCCAGATATCGCGGTCTTGGTAGTTTCCACCATGCGGCTTCTCGGGCAGAATAGTCACGTTGGCCCAGCCAGCACCTCCAACAGCACCGGTGCGCTTCTGGAACTCCACGACACCCTCATTGAGGAAGTAGTTGTCCCATGTCCCCACGTAGATAAAGATACGGCCAGCCAGTGCCGTGCCGAGTTTACGCGATGAGTTGAAGTTGGTCACGACGTAGTGACTGAGATCAAAGGGCTTCCAGTACTCGACGGCTTCAGGATAAATCTCGCCCGTGACCTTATCCCAGGGCTCCAGAGGATAGTTGTTGTAGCCCTGCACGCCGAAGACGGCGTTCCAAATGTCCCACTGGTTGAAGGAACGGGACGCGGTGCCAAAAGTAAGTTCCCAGTGATTTTCCTGTGCAACTGTGGCCAGGATAACCTCGGTACCATTCTCATGCGTCCGGATGCTGGGGACGAAGCTGCCGTCTGCGCGCTGGTACGCGTTTGCGGCACTGTACAGCTCGATATCCTGATGGCGGTGGAAGTCGAGCGAATCGGGGTAGGAAGAGAAGCAGGCGCCAAAGAGGTCTGGGCGGTAAATGACATTGGCAATAGACCCCCATCCTCCGGTAGACCCTCCGTCCTGGATGCGTGCATAGGGTGCGCGAATGGTGCGGAAATGCTCCTCAATGTAGGGGATAAGCTCCTCGTTGATGGCATCGCCGTAAGGTCCTAGGTTCGCGGTATTGACAGCATACGAGTCATCGTAATACGGTGTTTCGTGGCGGAAGGTAACGGTGATGAACTTGGGTACCGGGCGTGCGGCCGTGGTGTTGATAGCAGGAACAATGCCGGCGTTCCATGCCGCTGTGAAATCCTTCTTTTTGCTACTGCCATAGCCATAGGCGCCTAGATCATCAGTCCAATGACCTTGGTTATAGATGACAGGATACCGCGTCTTGGTGTCGTTTCCGTTGTAGCCAGCGGGCAGCACGACATTAGCACCAACGTACATGTCGCGGCCCCAGAACTTGCTCAGCTTCTTGCTGCGAATCTTGATGTACTTTATAAAGTCCGTGTCTGCGTAGTTGCCTTGGTGACATCCGCCAATCTCATTTCCATCGAAATTGGGAACGGCGGTGATGTTGTTAAAAGTCAACTCGAGAGTTTGCATGCCCCCGGAGATTTTGATATCCGTAACTGGCGTGGTTAAGCTCCCATAGCCATTTACGTTGGGCGCACCATCACCACATGGAAAACGGAGGCTGACTTTGGATCCATCGCTGCGCGTCACTGTCTCGTATCTGGTGAGGAAGGCTTGCACACTGTAGGTGCCTGGATCGATATCGTTCATACTAACGTTTGGCCAGCCAAACACATCCGTTGCGGCGGTGCCATTGCTTCCGCCTGTGAATATGACGGTTTTGTTTGCACCAAAGCCGTAGACATTTTTTCCAAAAATCTTGTTGGGCGATGAGGTGACATCCGTGTCGTCGAGAGGATCGGTCCCGTTAGGGGCAAACATCAACACAATGCGGCCATCTGTAGGAGCGCGCAAGAGGCCGCTGGCTATCGAGAGTTTGACATTGAGGTTGGCGTGATACTCTGCTGTAGGAAGAGCCGATACGCCTACAGCGAGCGAGGCGAAGAGTAAGGACTTGAGCATGTCGCATGGAATGACTGCAACAGGATGGCAAGGTGCAAGAGACTTCAACTGATATGACCGGCGTTGGGAGATTAAGCTTTTATTTGATGCGGATCTCTAAGCAACAAGGCGTTCTAGTCAAATTAAGAAGGCGCCAGGACGTGTTGGTCTTTAGTGGAGCCTTTGGAAAAAACGCCCCCACTCATCAGGATTTGACTACTGTATGAGAGATTGATTCAACACAAGCAAACCTGCGACTACTGATCGTTCTAGCGCAATTCCAGAACAGCAGTTTCCACTATCAACCGCGCAGGAACGAGTGCGTCTCATGGAAAGAACTCTAAGGGTGTCTACTCCATCAGCAGGAACAGGCCGATCTTTCTTCGCAGAGGATTACCCGATTAGGCATCGGTCGAGTCATGCTATCTGGAGAGCCTAACCTCGACTAATCAGCGAGACAGATCGACCGATAACCGTGTTCTGTGGATATCATGATACTAATCCTCTATTCCAACCCAACGACACTGGCTTGTGTTCATTGTCGGGCCAGTACACCTACGTCGTCGAGCTATCTTGACGCCACGACTTCAGTGGACCGGCATACCTGCCTTGAGGATTTGCCAAGATGATTACACGAGGATTTATCAACATGCGTCAGCTTGCCATCCGATATGCAAGACTAGGTACTATAGGAGACATTCATGAAGAGAACAATGTCCTAGTCAACAACTTGCATCTTCCGAAGAGGATTACCCCTGCGGTTCGCACGAGCAGACCACGTTATTTGATGCAAATACCGAGAGATACAGGATGGTGTTTTCAACGCCACAACTGCAGGTGTATCTAGTACCCAGTTAGGGGTAATGTCTAATCTAACGCCGCCAACCTCCCCTTTCCCACGCACAATCTCCCAGAAGACGAGGGCTAATAGAAGGATTACTTGATTCTACCTATCCATCATCTCCGCGAAATTTGCATCGATAGTAATGGGAAATTGCGATCTGAAGCCAAGCTGCCTGTTTTCGTCTTGATTACGGAGGTGTATATTCCTGGGCTCAACGAATTGAACCTACTACAGTCCTAATAACTTGGTCTGCCATGCCCTTTAGCGCAGCATATCCATCGTATCCGAAAACACCAACTGCCGGCTGGACGCACTTACATTCCGGAATCTTAGCAAGAGGGTGATCTGTTCCAGGGAATAATGGCTTCCGTGATCAAACGTGCATACTACATAGTGGCTGCGCAACAACATTGAAGATTTTGACTAACTGTACTATAGACGGGTACTTGGGTACCATTGATTGCACATGCCATTCATAAACATCTACCATACAAGAAAATTTACCTCGCATCCGTGACTCAACAAGTCCAGGCCATGCCCAGTACATGCATTCAACAACTAGTAACCCGCCAGCTGCTCCATGAGCCAGCCATATACCCATGTCAACGCCTCGTAAAAGCCAGACTCACCCCTACTTCAACACCATACCAACAACCCTTGGACACCGAGTCTCTGGTCGAAACAGCCGCTCCATGCACTACTGCGTTCCAGCCCAGCCTGCAACCCAGCTTAGTGCCGCGATAAGTAGAGACAATCATCACGTGAGCATGCGTTCTTTTCCCCGCGTTTCCACGCTGTTTTTCTTCAGTTGCATTTATGTGCATACAAGTCTGCCCTTGGACTTACCTCTTGCCCTTGCTGAAATACCCGATCTGATCAGGCGCAGACATTTGCATGAATACATAGGGAAGCCGGGTAAGTATACACCACACTCCGACATACCAACCCCACCGCCTATTTCCCTTTTTTTTCAAATTACCCTGCTGCAATAACACCCTCTCACCCCTCACCATGTCAATCTCCAGCCAGGATACCTGAGGATGCGGCGTACTATAGCAATCCCTTGATTCCAGCGTATTGGGCGTAGATATATGATATGTATGTATATGTAGGCGTAGCCGAAAAAGGTATAGTGTAGCCCCGTATCCAGCGTATCCGACCCCACGCGTCGACCTACATACACGATAACACTTGTGTTACGCAAGGGGCGAGCGGGGTCCTAGTCTTGCTGCAACACGATGCGAATGCGAATGCCGATCATGGCCGGGGGCGACGGATGGACGTGTATGTATACTGTAGTCAGCGGGATGAAACAGCGTAGTAACGCTCATGGGTGCAAGCGAAGTCCCGGGATGCGGCAGCAGCGGGGATGTGGATGTGTACCCAAGAGGAATTGAGGAGAAAGCAACCCTGCATGTGCATAAAGTTTATTTGAAGGAATATTAAGTAAGTAGGCGTGGTTTATTACTTAGCCACAGCTATACATACATTGTTTCCCCTTCCCTTCGCAGAGTAAACTAACGGCTAATCCTGTTTTTTTTCAGTCGTTGCTCTGGTAAATACTTTCTGTGTGTCTCCCTCTCTTTTTTTCCTCGTTGCAAAAGTAATCTGTTTGTTTGTTGATCTATTTCCGCTTCAATCACAGTACTACCAAGCACGGTGTCAATTTTTTCTTTTTCCCAGCAAAACATGGCGCCCGCTGCAGCTCCAGCTCCAGCTGCAGAGCCAAGCTCCCCCAGCGCTGTCGCAGCGGTCGCGCAAAAGTACCAACAAGAGGCTGCAAAGCGGCTGCGAGACGACGGCATCAAGCAATTCGAACCGCTGCATTTCAGCGACAACGAGCGCCTGCGCAGCCTAGTCGACGATCGATGGGCTGACCATGCTGCGCTCGACGCATTGCCTGTCCCTGTTTCCGCGCATGAACGAATCAAGTTTCTGGTTGTTGGCGCGGGGATAGGCGGCATTGTCATGGCCGTCAAGCTGCTGCAGAAGGGGTTCCGTGCGGCGGAAATACTTCTTGTCGATGCTGCGGGAGGCGTAGGCGGGACGTGGTATTGGAACCGGTATCCGGTAGGCCCCCATTTGCATGTGCTTGCTGCTATATTGTAGAAGGCTGACTACGGCAACACCAGGGCCTGCATTGCGATGTCGAGTCGTACTGCTATTTACCTCTCCTGGAAGAAACGGGGTACATGCCGCAGCAAAAGTACAGCTCGGGCGTCGAGATCCGCGCCTACTTGGAGACGGTAGTGCAGAAGTTTGGATTGGGCAGTCGAATCTTGTTCCGTACTCAAGTCAACAGGCTGGAATGGGATGATGCGGAAAAGGCCTGGAGAGCCAACGTGACCATGCGCCGTGGCTCTGACGGAACCCAGGAGACGGGCCTCTCGTTCTACGCTGAGAACGTCACCATTGCCAACGGCCTGTTTCCCTATGCCCAAGTGCCAAAGATAGCTGGATTGGCGCACTTTGGCGGGGAAATGCTGCATACCGCGCGCTGGAATTACGACATCACGGGCGGCTCTTGTGATGAAACCTTCCCGGAACTGAGCAAGCTCAAAGACAAGGTAGTCGGTATTGTTGGGACGGGCGCCACTGCGATCCAGGTTGTGCCCGAGCTTGCCAAACACGCAAAGGAGGTCTATGTATTCCAGCGCACGCCTTCGCAAGTATTCGTCCGGGGCCAGCGAGAGACAGACGGCGAAGAGTGGCGCCACAGCATCGCCGCGAAACCAGGGTGGCAGCGAGCTCGTATGGAAAACTTAGGCCTGGCAGTCGCGGGCCAGATGGATCCAGAGAAAGATCTTGTTCGCGACGCGTGGTCCGAACTGGAAACATTTGGCGTCCTCATTGGCAGCAATCGGTTCGGATTGATTACACCTGACAAGGTCCCACAGCATATTGGAACTGTGCTTGCAATCGATGCAAAACATACCGAACGGGCTCGCTCGCGCATCGCACACACAGTCAAAGACAAAGATACGGCAGAAAAACTGACGCCCTGGTATCCGACATGGTGCAAGCGCCCAACGTTTAGCGACACATATCTTGACGCCTTCAACCGCGAAAACGTCCATTTGATTGATACAGACGGCGCCGGCATCAGCGGCTTTACGCCAAAAGGCGTCGTTGCAAATAGCCACGAATACCCAATTGACGTCCTCGTCCTGAGCACTGGGTATCGTTCGCCGGGCGTCGGCGGGGATCCAGGCTCGCGTACTGGTACCGAGATTGTTGGTCGTCATGGACGCCCCTTGGCAGACAAGTGGGAAAAGCAGGGCGTGTCCACTTTGCATGGTGTGGCGACAAATGGGTATCCTAACATGTTCTTCATAGGGGCAAGCCAAGCCGCCGCCCCTGTCACTTGGACCCATCTAGTCGATATACAGAGCGAGCACATCGCTTCCATAATAAAAACAGCTCAAGGTCGTGCGGGAGACGGAAAAGGAACCCCTATTATTGAACCTTCGGTCGAGGCAGAGGACGCGTGGGGTATGGCCATTGCCCAAGGTTCGGCTTTCTTTGGTGCATGTGCTATCTGCACACCCAATTATAGCAACCAAGAAGGCCAGGCATTCAAAATGCCTGCAACCAATGACCATGCAGCAATGATGAAAAAGGCAAAGGCAGCCATCTGGTACCAGGGGTTGGTCTACTTTGGTCAAATGCTGGAGAATTGGCGCGAGGGCGGACATTTGGACGGGCTAGAGATAGTGGTAGGCTGAGACAGATAAGCCGAGGCCATCGACCTGGGATATTAGGTGTGTCTGTTGCAGTTGTCACGAAGCATAGGACTACCATGTCAGCTTCTGAAACAAACTTATGATATGACGACTGTATTTGGTTGAGCTAGTTGAAGGGAGACATTTGCTAGTATTCGCCAATAAGGGATAACGGGGATCAGTTTTGACTGAAGTGTATCGAGGGCACATCAGTTCATCTAACCCGGCGACTCTTTACGAGACTGGAGTCTCCTAGTTGTGTGTTAGCAACTCGTCTCCACGATTTTGAGTTGTGCTTACCTCTTTCAGCACTTCATAGACGTTGTCTGTGTCCAACACCACAGAGTCGGGCTGTACGCCATCCACCAGCTTTCTCTCCCATGCAATGGAGCCATGCATTCCATTCACAGGTCCTCCGTCTCCCGAGCCTGTCGGGTCGTTTGTATAGTTGCGTTCAGGGCCAGTAGCATTGTCTTTTCCGGTTGGCTGGTGTCCATTTCGACTCTCCTTTGAAGACGTCTGATGTTGTTGCCAATATACCGATCTGCCTCCAGTCAAGGCCTGCAGCTTGTCGCCAACGCGAGTACCAGGCTTGGCTGGCGCCTGGCCCTCATTGAGCCTGCGCAGGATGATGTAGCCCACAAGACCCCAGACGAAGATGAAGGTTGCCGAGCAGCTGGCGATGACGACGGTTGGGACAACAAAGAGCAATGCGAAGCCGACAACGAAGAAGGTGATGGTGAGCGAGGCGATGAGGCCCAGGAGGAGGCAGGTCGTGAGGCAGACAAGGAGAGTGGCCGCAGCAAAGGCTAGAAAGAGGACAATGGGGAGGCCCGCCAACGCGGCTTGGGTGGTGAGGAAAGCCTATTGATATTCATAAGCATGGGCTTCTGCGTGGTTAGAGGAGAACATACGGCGGCTTTGGGGTTCTGGCGAGCATAGAGGCGGGCCTGCTCAGCCATGTGCTCACGCCGCCGGGGTGGGAGGAGCTGGTTCGTCGTGGCCTCGAGCTGGGCTTCCACACTCTTGGCGGCATGCTGGACGTGATGGCTGACGCTACCGACCACGTCTCCGGCTGTCTGAATAACGGAAGGCATTGTGAATGTAGATATCAAGCAGACGAGTGGGGTGGGGTCTGTTGATAAAGGAGCGGTGATGGTGTCGGCTGGGGGAGAAGCAAAGAAAAGCAGCGAAAAGCAATGAGGCGTGGATTACGGTACTGCAGCAGACGCCATTGCACTTGGGAGGCGGCTACCACGGATCGGCAGAGGCAGTAGCCGTGTTTCAATGGCGACAGCGATGGCGATGGCGATGGCGATGATGCAAAGGCAAAGGCCGAGACGGATGCGGAGGCTGAGGCGGAGACGGCGGGCCTGGAACGCGTTGTTCACGCGTACGTCATGGCATCCGCGCTAGCAGCCACCCCTGTCGCTCGGCTAGCGCTTGGCTTCTCACCGCCCCCGCATTCTGCCGATTCGACATTGAACTTTTCGACATGTCGCGACACGCCCTTCCATACCGCGCCCGCACCGCCGACATGAGCGACAAGAAGCGCAAGAGACACGCCGAAAATGGCGACCGACCCAAGAAGAAGCCCGTCGTCGCGCCCCCTGCCAACGTCAAGGTCGACGTGGTAGACAACACCGAGGCGCTGGGCCCGCTGCTGGGTATGTGAAAGCCTCTCCCACGCCCGGCGCATGCCTCTCCACGCCATTGCGACGCCTGTTTGGTCGCCAATCGAGCCGGATTGCCCCAGCTAACATGCAAAGCCGTCATGCCTGGTCTCGCCATCCCGCCCAGCATTTCCTTCAACCCGTATAAGCGCACAAAAGTGCTGGCCCAAGGCGACAGCACGGAGCTGCTGTTCCAGTCCTCAGATCACCCTCGCCTGGACTATACCGCGCAAGAAGAGCGCGATGGCAGCTCCGAGAGCCAGCTGCAGGACTACATTGGCGTCTACGACCCGGCAACTAGCAAGCTGCACATTGTCCCCGTCAAGAGAGTCGTCGTGCGAAGCACACTGCGAAGTGAAACCCAAGAGATGCAAGCGCAACAAGCGGCACTAGACGCGCAGAGCAACACCACTACGGCCAAGCGAGCTGCCCTCGCCGCAGAGTTCGGGTCCAGGAAGTCCAGAAAGGCTCTCGAGGACCGCACGCTAAACGCCATCAAGAGCGTCTCTGGGGGCGACGATGTGGCCGAGAACGTCCTGCAGCAAATGTCCTCTTCGACCAGCGTCATGCCGACCGGCCAAGACCTCGCCGCAGCTGTCGACAGCTCCAAGCCCCGACCGATTCCCAATCTTGCGGCCGAATACCCTGGCGACGTCTACCCTATCAATGTCGTCGTTGGGACCGACCTGATGACTATGCTCGACGTAAAGGACTGGGTGCAGGCATCAGCAGCTGGCCAGGGTGTCAACGTCACCAGCAAGTACGTCGCAAGGCGCATCGTCAAACTTGCAAAGAACAAGCAAATCCAAAAACTAAAGGTTTTGCGCTTTATACTACTGTGCATCAACTTCAATGCCGCCTTGACTGGTGGAGGCGGTCCAAGGCCAAAGAAGATACCTATCAAGGGCAAGTTGGAAGCAGTCATGGGTGAGGATGTGCCGGCTGGATGCGTCTCGGCGATTAGGCGCAAATTTGCCCCAGAAAGGTGAGTTGTCATATCTTCAAGTTACTAGACGTTGTACTGATTGTTTCAGTGGCTCGGAGATGCCTCGCTGGAATGTCGACTACCTAATGACCCACATTGCGGCAGCAGCCCTCATCGTCGACGACCAGGCAGTCGATGTCAACGACCTTCGTGAAGATCTCAAACTCGAGAACAAGGAGTAAGTGGCTCGACTGAACTGCATCAGTAGCAGACTAACACGCCGTAGAATCAAGCAGTACTTTGCGGAACTGGGCTGCAAACTCACAGCCCCCACGCAGACGGATCTCACAAACATGAAGCTCACAAAGGCTGAAAGTGTCAATCATTTCATCGCCAAGCTCAAGTTGCCATTGACATTCCCAAAGGTTGGTGGCAAGTTTAGAAGCAAGTAATTTAGGATTGCATTTGTTAGTTGGTAGTTTGGGCGCTTGGGGTTTACTTAACGTATCATCTGGTCAGCACGACAGACGAGTTTGTGGAATAAAAGGATGAAGCTTTACAATCAATAGTGGTTCGCATATGCATGAAGTTGAAGCGAGATGCTACTGACCTACATGTAGTTTGCAAGTGCTAGATTCGGGAAACTGTTAGTTTCCCCAAGCAAATGACGGATATGTAAAAGTGCCTATGTTAAATGGGCTGGGTCGTTGAGGGAGGCATACATACACGTGCATGCGATAGATGCGGCGCCCAATTGACTAGACATGCTGAACCGATCACATGTAACCATGACATACTTACAAGCCACAGTACCAAATCACCAAGTCCACGCTTTGCCCATCCCCACCATCCCGTCAATCACATGCTTTCTGCCTCGCTCAACCCAAACGACGCAATGACGACAGGAAGAAAAACGACGGAATTCACATGTGCATGCCTACTGAAACGTGCAAGTGGAGTTGAAAGCACTCAACAACGACGAAACCATGACACCTTGACGACGTCCAGTTCCACAGATGCTTCCGCACTAACACTAAGCACATGCTCTCCCTCGGCGCCATATCTCGATTCCCACGGACGCTAATTGACCATGTACGTAGCCATAGCCACGAGCTTTGAATTGGGAATCTCGGACTCCCCGCGTCAAAGTCGCTAAAAGAGCGTCTAGCACCTCGATTGTCATGACATCACCATTGTCCGGCGAGTACATCATCGAATCCATGTACGCACTGCACTAGCACTCACTACACTGCGCCGTACGCAAAGCGATGTACATGCCGTGACGACACCTGATAACATGTACTCTTGATAAATGTTAACCCCATAGTGATCAAATATACAAAACCAGATTTCTGTATCTTGAAAACCCGTGAATCTACATACTTCCCTCCCAGCAATACCCACAATCCAGACTCACAATTCTATACATCCACACGCATACATACCACCCAAAAAAAAGAAAACATCCCAAAATGTCCAAGTCCACCGGCCCCCTCCTAGAACAACTCGGCGTGGGAACCTCATCGCAATCGACGCCAAACACCAGCACCAACATGGCACACAACAAGGATAATAGTAGTGGAAGTACCATGACCTCTACAGCCGACACACTGGGCGCAAATAAGACGACGAATGCGATTCCGCAGGAAAACCCGAGTGTCTTGTCTTCGGCGGGTGTGATTGGGAAGAATTGTATGTTTTTCTCCTTTCCTCTTTTTCTCCCTAGGTCCTACACCATCCTGCCCTCCTGCCTACCCTCCTACGTCCCACGTCCTACACAAGCTTCTTCGAACCCGCAACCGACCAAAGCGAACGCTAAAACCACAAAAACCAGTCAACCCGGACGGCGCAATAGGCCAAGCCGGGTCTTCAATCGGCGGCCCGTTTGCCGCAGACGGGGTAGTCGGAAGCCAGTTCGATGCACGGCAGAATGGGATTGCGGGGCTTGTGGAGCGCGCGGTGGATGGGCCGCGGAATCCGGCGGGGAGCTCAAAGTAAGCGGCATGTAGGAAGGGTGGAGTTGTTGGGTGGATGGATGGATGTGAGAGGGAATTTTTGGGTAGTGTATATATAGAGAAGTAATTGTGAGAGAGTTATGAAGTTGTTTTTGTTTGGTTCGAGAATGCATTTTGGGAGATGTTGTGCGTATACCTCTTCTGCGATAGGGTATGCTGTTCGTCGTGGAGAGTATGGCTATTCTCGTCGTACACAGCAGGGCTCTGTGTATCCGTCGAACCCTCATCATGCTTCAGTCGAGTTACAACGCGACAATAAAAGAACCGTAGATACACTCTTCATTAGACCGTACAATTACAAATGCTACTCCTAATGCAGTTACTCGAATTGCTCAACCATATCTGGATGACAATACTTAAAATGGGCGTATAAAGCATTTCCGGCTTATGAATTTACCCTCCAAGCCTGCGACCAGGTCCCATTCCACTCCAAGGGTTTGCGCCAGTAGTCCTGCCTGTACTTGGCTGTGCACCGCTTCCAGGCGCACCCGCCGTCCTTCCACGTCCTTCAACTACATGACCATATCCCCTGTTCTGGACACTGCCCGGTGTTGCGCTGAACCAACGCTTGACCATCTGAGGAGTGCGGATGTAGTTGGTTCCACCGCCAAACGTAGGCCAGATCCTTGTGAGGAAGTCGTAGAGATGCGCGGCAATGATGCCAGTCAATTGAGAAGCAGCAGCTTCAGGACCGTCGGTGACAAAAGTGAGGAAGAGCATGGCGAAGGGCAGATACTTTGCGTCAAAGTTGATGATGAAGAACTGGACCGAGCGCGTAGGGTTGTCCTGGCCAAAGGTGTATGCGTAGGCGAGGGACAGCGAGGGAAGAAACGTATATGTGTTCAAAAAGCAGCCTGCCGTTGCCTTGACATGACTGTTAGCACAAGCCCATTCCATGACATAGACATCAAGCGATTCAATACAAAAGGCGTAACGTAAGGGTATGTAGGGAGCCACCACGGCCATGCGAAAAGAAAATCGCAACGCAATTGTGTGTGACAATCCCACCATGCCTGCACACCATACAGTCCCTTTTGGATTGATGGCGGAACTGCATAATGTGCAAGGGTATTCTTCCTCGATTCCAGGAACCGCTTCAGCTAGATCAATTTTTGACTGGGCGGGCAGATATGTCGAGGTGGATGAGACCGTAGTCGTGGTCGCAGACAGCTGTGTCGATGCGATGCGCGTGTATGCATGGGCAATAGCTACGAGTAGGTACTTACGACAATGACGCTGCCCACAAACATGGTATACATAAAAAAGTCGCCAGGTTGGGCGAAGCGGCTCGACTCGCGCTCGATGGCGCTGCCGTACTGGTATAAGAAGTATGGGTCAAGCAGGATAGCGAACTTCGGTTTCGTAATTAGAAACGCCGTGAAGAGACGCCAGATCTGCGGCGGAAACATCTTGATCGTGAAGACATAGTGGCTGACGAAGATGAAGTGGTAGAGGTTCACAAGACCGCCATATCCCAGAGCCGAAACGACGACGGACGCCGCTGTAATGGTCCTGCAGGAAGCTGTTAGCAACGTTTTGAACGCGACTTTTGGCGGTGCGAGGCGAGCTGCGAAACTATAGAGCTAGATGATGGGGAGTTGCGGAAGCTTACCTTGAGACCGGGGGGAGCGTCCAAAAAACATCCATTATTACCTGAAGCTGGGGCAGCTGGAGACAAAGGTGAGAATCAGGTGTTGTGGCCAAGGATCAGCGGATGCTGCCTGGGGAGCAGCAAAAGCGTATTCGCAAGGTGGCTTTTGAACGAGGCGGCGCGCCTTTGGTGGGGAGCCCTTATGTCAGCACGCAGTCTGGATCTAGATCGAAGCGCGTCATTAGCCTGCGACTGGTCCGCACCGCCGACAAGACTGTATAAGACTGCAAATTTCAGATTCTCTCACCTCATAATATTAATTCTAGCGGCTCCTAGTAGTTCTCGTGGTTTCCAATAGTTCCCAAATACTACAATCAGGGTCGAACATTGCAAGATACCAAAGACAGAGCGGTTCCACGGGCCGATTGAGCGGTTCATAGACAATCGGGAGACATATCCAGATCAAACTTGAGAAAATAACAAACAAACTCTGCAGGCGTTCAGACTTGCCAATCAGATCAATTGATATACATGTTTTCTTGCTGAAAAGCCCACCGCTTCCTTTACCTTCAATCTCAGCCTCGTCCCCACATATTGTACAACGCATTTTCACCCACATCTACGATGCTTTCCCATCCGGTCCATGCACGTCGCTCTCGGCCCCCACGCCCGGCGTCCCCCTCTCCTCATACGAATCCTCGTAGCGCCTCCAAATCTCCATGTCTCTCGCTAGCCTCTTGTGATGTCTAATACGGTGCTGGTATGCCACCATGCGCTTGTCTGCTTCGAGCATGCCGCCCAGTATCATGCCGGACATCTGGATGTATCTGATTCGCACAGCGTTACAATTTCGGTGGGTAAAGAGTTTTTGTAGTTTTGGCTGTGAGGGTTTGGGTGATATAGGTAAGGCTTACGTTTTGAATTGGATGGTGAGGCCCCGGTATATGGGCGAAACGGCATATGCGACTCCGCCTGCTACGACGAAGAAGGCTCCCCACTGGTTTAATTGAGTCAGTTGGTTTCTTTGTTGTATGAAGAATGCCGTTGTGTCGGTAAATGCAATAGCGAGATATATCGCTGAAATATAGACCACCCGTCAGGTAGGATGGCCAGACCCAGTTCTGTGCATCACCTCCATGCGCATGTACCCATAGCTAGCTCTTTCAATCGTCGCCTTCTCCCTGTGTTTGCTGTTTCTCCTCTTAAACTCTTCACCGAGTCGTGAATCAAACAGGATAACGAAAACATGACAAGCCATGTCACGCGCATGCGCCCCTCATACCTTTGTACCTCCCACTAGTGCACCACGCGCCGCCTCCCATGCCGCCTGGTTTGTCTCGTCGTCTTTTTCCAAGCTGCCATGTTGTCTGACCATCTTTCCGTCGTGGCAATACCCAATGGTAACAATTAATGCTGACTGAGTAGGGCAATTGCTTCGCGTTGCAACAGTGAGGTTCAATCAATGCGATGAGGTGATGTCAGCGTACATTTTCGGTCGGAGCTCGGACATGAGCTTGTTTAGTGGGGGTAAGCAGCAGTCAGGCCCATGCAACGCGATCGCAGCTCCGAGACATGCCATGTTTAGATCTGCAGCCCTACCGTGCGTACCTCGGGACATGTCAAATCTACTCCGGGAATCCACGTGCATCTTAGCCTTGGTAGAGTCTGAACCCCTCCTCATTGCTTGAATAATCTATATGGTATCGTGGAAAGGGCACTCGGCCTGTTCTAGCCTGCAAAATGCATGTACTCAAAAAAGATTGCCCGGGATAAAAATCGCTCCAGCAAACGACCCACATTACAAACCATCTGTTACGTAGTGGGCAAGAAACGCCAAACGACCTCTTTGCAGAGGCATATGCAAGATGAACTCTATATGTACAGTGAAGAAAGGTGGATGTAGACAAAACCCGCCAGAATGCGGCGCAGGTGAAAGGGGTATGGTGAGCAGACAACCGAAACGATGCTAAAATGCAATCGCCGTTGACTGTTTGGCTACCTGGAGAACGGGAACCCGATCGACGTTTGGCCAAAAGACATTTCAAGCTCCTTTTCCAAAGGTGTGACGTCGTAGTCAATCTCTATCGACGGCGTCGTGGTAATCTCCGGAATGATACTATCAAGCTGTATGTTTTTTTCCACGGTTGGGGTACTTTCAATGATGACTTGGTCGAGGATCTTGCTGAGGCTACTTGCCGTGTCTGGCCGTTCAAACTCTTCTTCGTCGACGTCCATGGCTGTAGGTATGCCATTTGCGATATTGTAATTGCGCAAGAGGTATTGCTGGAGACGATACTCTTGCCTGGCCCAGCTCTCATCCACAAGCCCCAGTGCAGCCTTGATGTCTTGATCCGAGAGACCCATTGGATAACTGGGCTCCTTTGAAGACTTGCTAACCACTCGATTTGCGATTCTGCTGCGAACAGATGAAGATTTTGATTGGGCGTGTGTAGACGCGTCGTCTCGCATCGACTTGACCTGGTCTTCTGTCTGCTTGAGGGCCATTTGGCGGGATTCTTGCATGGTCGGAAGATAGAGGAGCGTTGTGTTCCGGTGAAGCGCGTTGACAAGATCGGTGAAGCCCGTCAGAGCAATACCATTGTCCTCGCAGTACAGGTATTGCAGTGTATTGTTGACCTTGAGCACGTCTGCTAGGGTGCTTGCGCCTTGTACACCGAGCCTTTGGTCTAGTTCCGTCAGTCGCTTTCCTCATAGACACCAGGCTGCCCAACTTACATCTAATGTGCAAAACGCGCAGGGTCTTGTTGCGCTGAAGTCCCCGCAATGCCCGGTTGATGCCGACACCCAGCTTGGTTGTCTCAAGGCGAGAATCTTCACCAGAAATGTCGAGCCACTCGAGGCTTTTGTTATCAGCAAACATCTTCTCCAGCGCCTGACATGTCTCTTCAGAAGCATCGCATGGCAGAGAGGCCCGCGATATATCCAACTGTCGAATGGTGGTATTACTGGCCAAAGCGAGTATCATTTTTCGGAAGTCTGCATCTTCTTCGAACTCAAGCAGGCGGAGGGTGAGTTTGGATGGGGCCAGGCCGTTGGCGATTGCCTTTGTCAGCTTGTGCAAATCTACTTCGATTCTGTTCTCGCTGACATCCATATGTAGGTCACGAGCTTTGCCCGGTTGTTCCGTCATTGCATGCAAGAGATATGCAATGTCTTTTCCTGTTAGGAAGCAGTGATCCAGCTTGATCTCGCGCAAGGCCGAAGACTGCTTGTAGTTGGCAAGGTAGCCGGCGATTGCGTCGACGGTAGCAGCATTGAGGGATGTTCCGCTTAGAGTCAACTCCTGTAACCTCCAACCTTGGAATGTCTCAACGGAGATGAGAGATTCGAGACCAGATGACCGCGCAACATGCGATAGATTCAGGCGTGTGAGATAGCCAAAAACGCCAATTTGGGAGTCGAATATGCTTGGTGTGAGGCGAAAAGGATTGGAAGATAGGTCAATGGCCTCTAGGGTAGTTTCCTGTGCACGCAGTGCATCGAGAACCAGAGACAGGGCGCGGTCTGTAAGACCACATCCACTCAATTCCAGCCCCCGTAAATGGCAAGCTCGTTCGACGCCGGCAGCCACGAGATAGTCCAAATCCGTGTCTCCAAGCTGTATCTTGTTGAGAGCTATCCAGTCGACATTGGTTGTTTGATACTTGCAAAGTGGAAACAGCGCTTCTACGATAGCGCAGCCTTGGTCTCTCGCACTGCCTCTAGACTCTCCATGTTCTCTGGGTTGCCGTGTGATGCAGGATGAAAAGTCCATTCTTCGAAGCTTCCGATTCGTCAGGGCCAATGCGCGAATCTCCTGTACTAGCAGGCAAGAGCGCTCCAGTTCTTCGACATCCAGCCGCGCATACGTTCCACGTTTTGTCTTGAGACAAAGATGCTCTGCGCCGTTTGGGTCGTTGAGTCCGTTCAAGACGTCCAGACACACGCCTTTGAATGAGATACCACCAAAAGTTTCGTTATACCTCAAGGCGCGCATTACAGCAAGGAGCTCGAGTGTCGTGTACTGGGACCTCCGCAAGCCAACAGGAGGAAGGAGCTCGAAGCGTGGAGAGTCTTCTGTCGGATACGTAATCTGATAGCTGATGTTTTCTGGCTGGACATCGTAAGCGACACAATATCCTATCAGAGTCCGATCCAGAGAGTCCGGGTCCATGGGATGCGGACTCTCCTGGCGAACAATGTCTTGCTGGACGTCTTCAGGAACCATAAATTCCAATGGCCGCGTCTCCCACTCGGGCCTTAAGCCGGCTTCTACATATCGCAGGCGGACGGCGATGTCACGCGAGGCAAGCGACGCCAGGTGCAGTACTTTGGGTCGTTCCAGTGGTTTTCTGCGTGGTGTCAGGATGGCTCTTGGTATAGGCACTCGGGCACGTACCTGAAGGTCAACTGAAAGGTATCGTCGATTTCGTTGACGCGGACTTCGGTCAGGGTTAGAATGCCATGCGACAATTGCGTGGCGTGAGAGGCCAAGGACGGACTGGAAGAGCGCTGAGAAGGAGGCTTGAACAGAGGAATGATGTGTACTTTATGCACGCCAATGGCAAGAAAACACACGGAAGCAGAGACCCTGGTCAAGTCATCCGACGAGGATCTGGTCGTGGTTTTCCCTTGAGGCCTGAGGACGACCTTGTATATGGCGTAGTGTGGAGGCACGTAGTCACGCTCTGCCTCGACGACGCGCGCAGCCAGGTGGGAATTATGTGCAGAAATGGGCTTCGCGTCACAAAGTCGGGCGGCATTGGCTGCTTCTCTGATGGCCTTGAGCCATGTAAACATGTCTTCGGGGTCGCCGAACTGGAGCGTCATGGAAGAGGCATTGTTGGCCTCATCATCCAGGTAGTACAGCTCGAGGGCAAAGTGCGGGCGGCCGTCGTCTAGATGGTACACGGCAACAATCTGGCGCAAGGGTATGCCTTGGTGGCGCTCACCAGAGGATTCCGAGGCCAGGGACTGGAGCTCGTGGGTTGAGCCGATGGAGGGGCTGTGGCTGTGCCTGTACGTGCTCATGCGATGGGACGACGGCGCCCTACGATAATCGGCGCCATCACCCAGGCCTGTAGAGGCTGGGGCACATGCGGGGAATGCTTCAGTTGCCTTGGGCTGGTTCTTGAAGCGAACGAGATGCTTCTCGGTCAGCACCAGATACTCCTTCTTCTTTCGGAACATGGAGCTGCTCGTCTGCACCTCGCCATGGTGCAGGACCTGGAGATGGCGCACATCCTCGAACAGGTACTCGCCAAAGACGGTCGAGTTGCGCGTGGAGCTGGCCGAGAGCGGCTCAGCGTCGTCGTCGCCGGGCAGTCTGTAGCCACGGAAAGAGCTGAAGACCGAGCTGGCCCGCTTCAGCTGCGTCTTGGAAAGGCCCTGGCGCGACGAATCAGGCGTCTCGGCAATGGGGGTGCTGGCACCTGTGCTGGCCGCGGTCGCGGCAGGCTCTGCGTACTGGGAGATTTCGGAGAGATTGGAGATGAAGGAGGCGGTGCGGCGCTTTCGCAGCAGATTCGAGGGCTGGGAATCATCCTTGGGGGCGTGCGAGGTGAGGGCATTGAGGGAGCTGCGACCGAAGAGGCTCCGCCGTTTCTCTTTGGACATTCCGGGGAACCAGGATTGCGCGCGCGGCCCAGCACGAGCTCAGCGGCGCGACAGTGGCATACAGAGAGCGCCCCTCGGACGAAGAAGCAATAGAGGCACGCGGGGAGCTACGTTAGAGAGTCGTCGAGGGGTAGTCGAGGGCGAGCCCGAGCAGCGGAGTTGGGGGATTCAGTCTGGGGGGCGTGGCCAATTAGCATGCAGGCGCATGCGCGAGGCAAGGCACCACGACAACAACGAGGGAAAAACAACAACAACAATAACAATAGAAAAAACAACGAGAGCAGCAGTGGGTGCGGCGGGCTACGGGGTCGCGGGCGCGGTGCAGGCGTCAGGCGCGGCGGGGGGCGGGAATGGGGTTGCAGGCGTCGTGCAATGACGACGTCTCATTATTCATCTGCCGTCACTGGGTGTGTGTACACGCGAGGTGGCATGAGGGCTCGCAGGAACAAGTAAATTCCGGGCTTGAATCGGGAGCTGGCAGGCAGTTTGATTGCACGGGGCGAGCAGGGGGAGGGCGGAGGGCGGAGAGCGGAGAGCGGAGGGCGGAGAGCGGAGAGCGGAGAGCGGAGAGCGGGAGAGGGCGAGGGCAGCAAGGGCGAGGGCGAGGGCGAGGTGGCCGTCGAATATGTACAAAGGGCGATGGATGCGCGCGACTGTCTCTCGTCACCCCCAGGCGTTGCGCCCAATGGCGGCGGGCGTGCGTCGTGTGGTGGTGGCTCTGGCTCCACGCGGCCTGCCCTGCTGCTGCTGCGTCACGTGACGCGAGCTCCCTCTTCCGGCCTAGCCACCCCCCCGGCGTTAGCAAAACGCCGACATATTTTCTGGCACCGTCTGCCATGCCGGCCAATGCATATCTTCAACGCCGCCCCTGCGCTCCCCCCAACCGACTCGTCGCCATGCTGAGCCGCCAGCTCGTGCGAGCCTCGCCATGGCACACGTCCCCCGTATGCCTCTTTGGCGCTGCCCGCGGCCGGCCCTTGAGCGCCACGGCCGTGGTCCTGAAGCAAAGCGCTGCCAAAAAGGCGGCGGCCAAGACAGACGGCAAAAAGAGCACAAAGGCCAAGGACAAGTCCAAGGCTGCCCCCAAAAAAGACGCCAAAAAGGCAAAGCCCGCCAAGGACGACGCCGACGACAGCCCCAAGTCTCTCAAAGACGCATTGCTGGGCGACAAGGCCAGTAGGCAGAAACGCAAGGCCGCAGCGCGCGAGAAGCTGGACATTGTCTCCATTCAGGCTGAAGAGCTCCAATTCGAGCCTGTGCATGTGGAAAGGCCGCCCGTCCCCATGCTGTCCTACGGGCTTGACCGCGTGCTGTTCAACCCGGGCGTCTACCGCCTGCAGGACCCCCGCTCGAGGGTCTACAACTTCGATCCCTATCTCGAGAAGATCATGCCAGCCCACGAGTTCGACTTTGAGGCCCTGAGCGAGTACAAGACGTCGTCCAAGGACGAGGAGCTGCTCGCCCTGACCAAGCGAGTTGGCTCCAAGTTCACTGGCTCCACGTCCAGCATGTCGGGCATCCTGCAGCACTTTCACTTTGTCCTCTCAAACTTCCGCCCGCTCAACCACGACATGCTTTCTCGTCAGTTTCCAGACCCGTCGTCCAACTTCTCGAGGATTACGCTCGGCCCCAGTGCCGTTTTCCTGCGACACAAGGACGGCGTCTATGCAATTGATGCCGACAAATCCTACGACAGGCCCAACATCATGAGCTGGCTCGGCCATTCGTTGGAGAAACTGCTCACCACCGAGCGCAGCGAATTCGAACGATATCGCAGGTCGAACCCTGAGCAGGCGCCCACCGAGGACAATGCCAGCCGTTGCTACCACTATTCCAAACAAGGCAACATCATGATGCGCTCCCAGCTCGACGCAGTGGACCCGCGACTCCCCGGCACTGGCATCTTCGACTTGAAGACACGAGCTGTCATTTCAATCCGCATGAACCACCGGGAATACGAAGAAGGCTCGGGCTACCAGCTCCGACACGCCCTGGGCGAATGGGAGTCTTTCGAGCGCGAGTTCTACGACATGACGCGCGCCACCCTGCTCAAGTATTCACTGCAAGTTCGCATGGGCCGAATGGACGGCATCTTCATTGCCTTTCACAATATTGAGCGCATCTTCGGTTTCCAATATCTCAGCCTACCCGACATGGATGCTGTTCTGCATGGACAGCACGACACATCGCTGGGAGACCGCGAGTTCAAGATCTCCATCAACTTGGTTGACGAACTGCTGACCAGGGCTACGGCTCAGTTCCCCGACACTGTAAGCCATCCTGAGCAACTTGAAAAGCAATTTTGGTTACTAACATGCAAATAGTCTATACGGCTGCACTTTGAGGCACGTGATTCCAAAACCCCGTTCATGTATGTGTTCGCCGAGCCCGTCACCGAGGAGCAGGCAGACGAAATTCAGACGGCGGGAGAGGATGCCCAGCAGGAATTTGCGCGGACTGTTGTTGGCATATCTGAGAATGACCGCAAGACTCAAGCCGCCTGGCAGGATATTCAAGACAATATTGACGAGCAGGTGGGTGAGGACCAAAATAGCATCTCGGAAGCCGAAAGCGGTGAAGAGAGCGTAGCCCAAGAAGAGCCTCTGGATAACACCGAGGACGGCTCTGAAGAAACTGCCGAGGAGACTGCCGAGGAGACTGCCGAGGAGACGACCGAGGAGACGACTGAGGAGACGACTGAGGAGACGACCGAGGAGATGACCGAGGAGATGACCGAGGAAAATGCAGCAAACGCAGAACCGATTCCCGATCCTGATTTGGGAAAGCCATTAATGGGATGGATATTGAGCGTCCGCAATCTGGTCAATGGAGACTATGTGGAAAGGCCCGTAGACTTTACAGACGCGGATGAATGGAAGGTTGAGTATAACATCAAGGAAATCCAGGAAAAGTCACGTTGGAGGCTGTACAAAGCGCTGCAAGAACGGCGGCGTCAACTTATTGGTCTGGACGAAGAAGAAACAGACAAGAAACTCAAGAACTACCGCGAACTCATTGCAAGCTTCAGCCACCGCGGACGTCAATGGAGGCTGGAGCAAGATCAACTCGACAAAGACAAGGGCGTGGAAGTGTTCAGGCCGCTGGGGCCAGGTTCAGAAGCTGCTCGTTTGCTTGAGGAAGCTGGGGCACCTAAGATGGAGGAGGAGAAAGTGGCCGACGAAACAAAAGAGGCCGAAGCAGCTACTGAGGAGAAGGAAGAAGTACTGGAAGATGTGCCGGCATCCCCATCGTAGTAGCAAGGCGCTGTGCAATACTGGGGGGTTCATGAATCGATGCGAAGATACGACTGTATGTATTGGATGGCCATGTAAAACAAATGTACAAAGATGTATCAATAGAAAAGTAGAAAGTGACCTAGTCACGTGGCATAGCATAGAAGAGCAAGCATCATTTCTCGCGACTATATTACAATTATCAGTCCTTGTGCACTGGCCGCCGCTGATGGGCTGGGCTGACTGAGCTGACTGGTGTGACGCAATAGCAGGCGGTGCACCCCTGCTCCTCCACCCGCAATTGGCGACTTGGTAGCTCCGCATGGCTTCTCCGCAAAGCTCGTAGTTGAAGCTCCCCACCATGCCCGTCGCCATACTCACCACGAGCGCGCCTTCTCGCCCCACAACCAAGCAAGACGCAAACATCGACTGCTAAGAGGCGCCTGCGCCCGCCTGCCCGCCGCGCCACCCGGCTCCAGAGACGTGCACATACAAGTCTACGCCCGCAACATCGCCCGCTCCAGCACCCACCACGCCGCACCGCAGCCATGGACGGGGCGGATATCGAGGCCAATATCGATCTTCTGATCAGCTTCGGTGCAGACCAGCTCGACAGAAATGAGGCTCGACAGCTACTCGCAGTACGGAAGGCCCCCCGCGCAACCCCGCGCCCGCGCCGTATGAGCATGGTCTAATTACGCTTTGCAGAATCATGGCAACAGTGTCGAGGCCGCTATGGATAAGTACTTTAGCAGCATGGACCAAGGAGGCATCTCCGCGCTGAAAACCCATCTGCGCAACTCGCAAGCCAAATGGGATGAGAGCGCCTTTGGCGGCGCCATGTACGGTGCAGACGATGCTCCCGGTACGTCCCACTTGCTCCCGACCACGCTCAAGAACAGCAAAACTGACGAGCACTCGCATCAGCTTTCAATATTGACTATGCGCCAGGCCACGAAAATTACCCCCACAGCAATGTTAATAGCAGAGCCCCCACACGCCCGCCTTCTCGAACGAGCATTGCCTCTATGCAGGCACAGGCTGGCGACGCCCCGATGCAAAGTCAGTACTCTACACCATACATGTCACCTAGTGCGATGCTTGGGCCTGGGAAGTAATGTGTCGAAACATATGTACTGACGGGGACGCAGGTATAGAAAACCAAGAGTCGGGAGTAATCGGCTCCAACTCCAACTTCAGGCCGGCCACGGGAGACAATTACGACACGTCTCAGTGGGCCTTGGTACCGACAGCTACTGAGATCATCGCCGACCCCATCCCCACCCAGCGAAAACGCGAGGAAGGCCAGCCTGCCATCCTCAAGCCCTCGTCCAACTTCAACTACCTATCCAGCCTCATTCCTATTCTCCATTCAATACCGCTTTTCCGAAACGCACTGCTATGTCCCGCAATATTGCAGAACGACTACTGGATGGGCGAGGACTGGTGGAGAGGCAGTCCGACAGAGTCTGCGCGCATATTCGATGACAGCATAGGGCGCTCAGAAGCGCACGGGTTGGAGATTATTTACGAGGCGCAGCGGCTGATGGCGTTTCTGGACAACACTGACAGGATTTATGGATCAGTGAATGCATTGCTGCAGACAGAGGCTTGGGCAGAAGCCCAGTCAGTGGTGGATGACCCTGACGACGACTTGCTCAAATTCTTGGTCATGTGGGGCTTCGCGTTACAAAGTCATGTACCGAATATCGAATTGAACGGTGTGCTTCGATCCACTGTCAATGTCGCAGGAACCACACAAGAGAGCTTTGCGCTAGACACCACTGTCACCCGCGACCAGTCCCGACCCGACTTTAGCCTGTACGATGTCCTCGACGACACACTCTTCTCCTCAGCGGTAGGGAGCGCCCATATCCGCGATGCCAGCAATGTTCTCATAATTCGCCTCACGTCTTCAAATACGGAAGCATCCGATCTTGGATGCCGTATACCGGCCACTCTTTACATCGATCGCTACCTTGAGAAGAACAAGCATGTCATTAATGGCATGTACAGCGATATCAAGCAGCACGAGGAGCACCTCAATGCCATTCAGGCACAAGTGCAGAAATTACAATATCACACCCCGAATAAGGCAGGTGCTAAGAAGGTGGATTCATTGCAACTGCTGCGAACCAGCATGACGGCGTATGAACATGCAGATGGCAGCGGATCTGTGGAGGATGCAGTGGTCTTGGAGAAGCTTCAAGCACTGCACAAGAGCATTAAAGATAAGCTTGCAACCCTTGAGAAGCAGACTGAGCATATGCAGAAGACAATCTTTAGCATCTCGGGCAGATTTAAGCCACACGTGGACGATGGTGCGACAAACGACAATACTGAAGACGGTACAGACGATGCAGCCAAGAAACCGGCAGGAGAATCTGTAGAGCCAGTCAAGGTCGATTTTCCAGAGGGCCAAAGTCCAGAAGATGCCATGCACCACCCCTATCATCTCCACGGTGTAGCTACTCGTCGTGACGTACTGTATGTACGACACCCCGATATCAAATCCGATGTTCCAGGCGCATTACAGTGGTGGCGAATGCAATACGACTCTGAATCCTCGAACCCAATCATCAGACGCGACCGCCTCTCACTGCAAGAGGTCATTGATCGGGCGACTACTGAATCTGCCTCGGCACTCCTCGTATACGCAAACGACGATGCTATTTCAGTCGAGCCCACGCTACTACCAAAGCCACTCTTGGACTTTGTCAAACGCGACAATCTCAATTTCCTGGAAGAACTGCAAAAGTCGGCAACAGATTGGGAGGCGTTCGGGGACTATGACAATGTGGCTGAAACAGATTGGGATTCTGGAAAACCCAGATGGGACAAGGACTCTACACAGCAGTGGCGGGAAGACACATTGCCAGAAGACACGTGGAACCAGATTCCCGCAAAGGAATTCGACAGTCGTGATCTCAACGACTCAAACATGAGTTCGGCTACACTGACGCCCAACACGGAAATCGAAGACGACACTTCTTCGGCCGCCCAGCAGCAGCAGCAGCACACTGCCTCGAACACCGTCGCAGCACCGAGTAACGCTAGCAGCGAGACAATCGGAAGAAGCGACGATGTCATGGAAATCGACGCAGTAAAACTCCAGGCTAAAGTCGCTTTCTCAGACGTCGACATGCCGGATGTGCATGAGGAGCCGGAGCCGCCGCTACTGTCTTCTCAGCAGCATATTGAGGTTACCGAGAAGAACAAGGGTGGATAGATGGATGGGGTGTTTATTGGTTGCATTTATTACATAGCTAGTCAGTCGGTTGGCGATTCGTCTGGCCTTTTCTTGCTCGCGCAAAATCAAATCTCTCTCTCTCTCTCTCTCTGTTTTGTGTCTCTTTGTGTCTCGTTCTCTTGTTTATTGAAGCATATTGAACTATGTATTTACGGTTTTGAACTTTATTTACTTTCCAGTGCATGGTTCTTTTTCTCTTGGGGGCAAGACAGGGGGCTTTTGAAGCGTGTTTTCTTTTTTTCTTCTTCTTCTTCTTCTTCTTTAGAGTGGGGGTAGGGAAGGGGGCAATGCATGATGAGCGTTGATGTGTGAGTTTTTTTTTGTTCTCTAATGTGATGGGATGGTGTAGATAGGATAGGATGGGATAGGATGTGATAGATACCATCTTATTATTGAACCAACTATTCCAACTCATGAGGAGTGGGGGTTTTTTCTTTTCTTTTCTCAAGTGTCTTTTAGTAGGTGTATGTGCATGTATACGTGGGGTTTTTTCTAGTAGACTGTATGATGAATGCTCCAGGACACGGGGAAGGAAGATTACCAAGATGCATTGTCCTTTCCTTGCTTGTCCCCTTCACTAACGACTTTTGTAGCCCAAACATTAAAACTTGAATGGCTGATTTATCAGAACTCTTGAACGTGTTTTCATCGGAGGAATGAAGTAAGTCCAGGAATGTATGCATGCACGATACACAGCACTTGTAGGAAGATTTGCCAGTATGAAATTACTCATTGATTAAGATATACGCGCCCGTCTTACAAATCACATGATGAAAAACCGGAAGTAAATAGTGGCACCACAGTTCTCCCTCCTACAGCCCCCTCGTTCTATCCCTGCATCTCGATACCGCCAGAGCCATGAAGCACCTCGCCGGTACAGTAAGATCCCAGCGGCGACGCAAGATGCACATAGCATGTTGCCATTTCAACCGGCATACCCGGTCTGTTAAGCGGGCAGGCACCGACACCAAGAGCCTCCATGGCATCTGCGGGGTTGTTCTTGGTTGCAGGCTGCAATGGGGTCCAGCTATTACATCCATCAGCATGAGGAATTCGAGGATCTTACTCTCATTGCTGTAAAAGAAGGAGGAAAAAAGGGGAGTAAGGGATTCTTACATGATTCCCGGAGCAACAGCATTAACACGAATGCCATTAGGCGCCTGCTGCTGCGCGAGGCCGCGCGTAAACGTAGCGATTGCACCTTTTGTCGAGGCGTAGTCGAGCAGCGTGGGGTTCGACATGTATGCCGCGACCGAAGTGCTGTTTACGATGCTATCGCCGCGCTTCATGTGCTTGAGGGCGTATTTGGTCATTGCGAACATGGAAATGACGTTGGTTTGGAATGTCTTTTCCGTCACGTCTAGATCAATTTCGGTAATGTCGGTGGCCATTTCTTGCATGGCGGCTGAAGGTGGTGCAGGAGTTAGTGAGTGGGGTTCAGGAGAAGTAGATGGGGGTGAGATGGAAGGGGGAAAGAAGAGAGAGAGAGCTCACCATTATTAACAAGCACATTCAACCTCCCAAAGACCTTCATGTGCTGTTCAACAGCCTCCTCGCAGTTCTTCCTCTCCCTCAGATTCAACTGCATGAGATTGGCTTTGCGGCCCGCCTCTTCCACCTTCTTCTTAACATACTGCGCATCTTCTTCTTCCTCGGGGAGATACACAATACTGATATCTGCACCTTCCCTGGCAAAGAGAATGGCGACTGCTCGTCCGATACCAGAGTCTCCTCCCGTGATTAGTGCCGCCTTGCCTTGCAGCAGGCCACGGCCTTCATACTCCTTGAGGTACGGTTTCTGGTTCTCATCCCAGAATTCCAGACGCGACCATTCGGCCTTTTGCTCGGTTCGTGCATCCAGTCCTGGTCCGCCTTCTTGGTTTTGCGCCGTGATAGATGTCGCGGGGTATGCGGTTACGGGGCCTTTGTTGTCGCTCATGGCGGTTGGAATGTGTGGGGAATGGGATGAATCAATTAGTTGAAGTCTTGATATCGAAAGGGTGATATTCTCTGCGAGGATAAATGGCTGGAATATTTGCGTTGATCAGACATGGTTATGATGTAGGCGCGGGTAACGGTGGGGTGTGGGATTTCATGGGTCGTCATCGAACGTCATTGCGAAAATGTATGCATCGCGGATTCTTACACGTCACAATTGGACTGCATCTAGACTTTAATGTACGGCTAGTTCAGATCCTTCTGTTTTTCAGCGGGAATTGGTGTAGTGCCGCTGCTTTACGTCGGGATTTGGAATGCAGAGCTCAACGGTATATCATACGCCGTAGTGCCGACCAAATGCCAAAAGATGCATCACGCTTGAAAGATTATTATGGTCATTTGAATGATGCGTGAATATCTCAAAAAAGACATCACGGTGGTAAAGTATAGGTAGGGACTGCCACTGTCGCAATGCAGCTTAATCTATTAGCATAGAACGGAGAAGACCCTTACCTGGCCATCACCACGTGACCTTCCTATATCCTAAGAAACGTTGTATCTCTGAAATTTATTTTTCTTGTAGAATGATGACAGATAGGTATAGCAGAGTTTTTCAGGAGCAGACAAACTTCTCGGTTTCTTTTCGTTTTCAAAAACCACAACAGACGTGCCATTGTGTCGAGGGCTTTAAAGCGAGGTTCTTCTGCCAATCACTATGCAGAAACTTAGCGAGGGATTCCTTTTTTCGGTTCTTTTTTTGAAGACGGCAATTTAACACGAGTAGTAGGGGTGTGGATGCAAGTCAAAGGACTGACGGAAATGGTATTCCGAACCCGATGAGAGTCAAAAGAAAATTCCACTCAGTGAACCCCTGAGATACAGAGTCACTGCATCCTCCTACCCCTTGATTACTGGAGATTATGGAAATACCGATCAACAGCAACTTCAAGCAGCAGATGTTTTATTTATTTATTTGAGCGCTTGCATGAACTCATCTCGGCCAAAAAGGCGCCGACCATGTTGGGGGCAAGCATGCCAAATGGCCACATGATGATGAAAACAACAACTGGGGTAGAAGTGTGCGAACCCCCAGTATGTGATACAGGCACCGATGAAACTGGAGATATACTGGGGGACAATAATATGTGCACAAGTATCAAGGTTGAGTGAACATACGTAGACTTGTTGAGACGCGGGGAAGTGTTTCAATCGTCGACGCGCGACCTGCCAAGCTGCTGGCTGTTTGAGACGCAGCTGCAGTGGTTCGTGGACACAGCACCATGCAAACATGACCGAAATACCCAGAATTGCGGTGCTGAGAAAATCAAAAAAAGCTCGCGAGTACATATTTGGTTGGGATGCAGCGTGGGTGGGGGGCTGACACGCCGTGTAAGCAAGGAAGATGGTGTCCTAATCTGGGTGGAAAAAACAACCAATCAGCCAATCAGCCACGAGAGAAATGGCGCAGCAGCATCGTAGTACGAAACATGCAAGAAGAACAAAGGCGAGGATGCAGCTGACGATGCGAAGACCGGCTCTTCCAGCCGACCTTTGTCGATTCGCTCTAGCGGGTCAGCAAGATGCCGCATCGAGGCGTCGCCGTCGGATACGAGTTTCCAAGCTGCGCCAAGAGCTATAGGTATCTCAGTTCTGTGCTGAGTGGCGAACCGGCGTGCAAAGCCTTGCATGTAAAAAGGGTGCATTATGAACAAGGAACGCTGCATTCGACGTGGAATGCACATGCATGTTGAGCAGAGGCGCAGTGAGCACAAGACTAGATGCGGACACTGAGCACCCAGCTGCACGGTGGCTCTCGGATCCATGGTCCATGTGCTTGAACTGCTCGACGTGTCGGATTGCGAGATGAAGGATGCGAAAAAAACACGAAATCAAAATAAGTAGAGATTCCGAGATGGCCTGAGCAGAAAAAACGGGACAAAGCAACGAGACTGGCCAGTAGCCTGTGTGTCAACGTCATTGGACGGGGGTTATTGTGATCGCTGGTACCAGCCCGTCAAAAAGGAATCGTCGGACATTTCATGTAGCGACCCCGGCGCAGTAACTGAGCGTGTTAAGGCCATTACCTGTTTAGTTCTTTTTGGGAAATCATTCCTGCGGGAGCCGGGCCAAGTTGGGTTCAAGAACCGAAATATGGCAAACGAAACATCCATCTGGCCCAGACGGGATACCCATGCATGGCTGTTGTTTGTTTGTATGCACATCATAGAATGCTAGCAAACGTTCTCCGGGGGGAGGACCGGCTACATTTTTTTTGTTCCTGAAATACTGATACCAACCTAGGTGTTAGCGTGGAACGAGGTGAGATTTGTACATGTACAGCATACGTCTGCTGTGGTATCATGTCAAAGTATGACCGACGGCACCAAAACACAGGGTCAAGACAATCAGCTGGCCTTTCCCCTGGAAACACAAACGAGCAGCAGTTGATCATCCGGCCCCTACTCCTGACAGCCTTTGTGAAATGAATAACACGTGGGTTGCTTGCCCTGTGCATCCGGACGGCATATCCGACGACGCTGGCGGGGCGGAGCCTGCAGCAGGAAGCTTGGTATAGTAAAATCCATCAGTGCCCAGGCCGAGTCTTGAGCGTCTGGCCACCAAGACAGCTATTCTGTTCGCGCTGTGCCTGGATCACGAAAGAGGCTTGAGCTCCTGCGATGGTCCACGACCCCTTTTGAGGATCCAGCACCTCAGTCTGAAACATTCCACGACGCCTTTCCAGACAGAAGGGGGGGCGGATTCTCGTGGCAGTGCCGAACCATACTGTCTGCATGCGCCGTCTGACTGTGAGAAGAGCATTACGCACGTCGATAGGCTGTTTATCGATAGGCCATTTGCCTGGGGCTGTTGTTTGAAACACCGGCGCTGTGCGGCAGCCGTGCGGCAAAGAAAAGCCACGTACAATCCCTGCCTGCCGCCACCAGCGAGCCGAGTGGAGGTCTGACCGTGAGAAAAATGCTGCCACTCATTTTAAGCGTACGTAAGTAAGAACCACACGACCTTGTGGCCCTGTGATTCGCTGCGGGGTGCAGATGAGATGAACGTCGGTGTTTCCCGACGTCCATCGTGGACGCCCATGGACATGGAGTCCCTCGCGTCTTCGGACGCAGAGACGTGCAAGAGTCCGGGTAGCGGGCCATATAATGGCAGTCGACTAAGACAACTGGCGGCAGAGCGGGCGGACGTGACAGCTCTGGGTCGAGCGAGTACGATGCAGGCGGAACTCGGCCGGTCGAGACGGCGCGTAAGTAGAGACGGCTAAGGAAGCTCGCTCAACACACCCTGGTGAACCTAGCCCTGCTGTACCTACATTAGCGTCAGGCACACATTCTTTGTCGTGGGGCGCCCTGGCGCCCGCGACGGTCAACAGACTGCTCGTAGACGCCCGGCAAGCCACACAGGACGCAGTTCCATTACTTTTTGGGTAAGGTAGTGCGGAGGCGAGGGGGGGGGGGGCACACCGGAAGCATCTGGATCGTCAGGCCTTGGCTGGCCGACTATACAGTAGCATACATACATAAGAGACTTCTCGCCCCTCGGGACCAGGCTGTTCTCTACGCTCCAGCAAGCAAGTCATTCTTTCACCCCGTCAGTCCTTGACCTTGTCACTCCTTTCGTAGCCCGGTGCTATTGAACACTCCTTATTCGTTTGCTCTTTCGATACCGTCTTGCCCCTTCGTGTGAAGTTTATTTTTTTTCTTGCGACCATTACCGTCATCGCCATCATGTCCATGTCCAAGATCGTCCAAACCAGCGCCCTTGTTGCGGCGCTCATCTCCGCCGTGTCCGGTCACACAGCCGTTGAGAAGTTCGAGGCTGGAGGCAAGACCTACGAGGGTTTCCGCCAGGCTTCTAAGCAAGATCCCGGTAACCAGTCTCCTGCTTGGTGGACCAACCAGGGCTGGGGATACCAGCCCATCTACGGTGACCAGATCAACCAGTAAGTCTTGCCATGCTTTACACGCTGGTCGAATACTCACAATTACTGTAGCCCCGACATCATTGCCCACAAGGATGCTTCTCCCTCGCCCTACACTGTCGAGGTTCCCGCCGGCTCCGACGTCAAGTTCCACTGGCATCACGATGGTGCCTGTGGTACCGACGAGCAGGGATGGGACTGCTCTCACCACGGCTGGACCGCCACCTACATGGCCGACTGCAATGGCGACTGCGCCAAGGTCGACAAGACAACGCTCGAGTTCTTCAAGATCCACCAGTCGGCCCTGATCGACTACCGCAAGGGCCGCTACTCTTCCGGCGCGCCCCAAGAACAGACCGGCTACTGGGGCACTGACGCCATCTTCTACGACAACGCCAACACCCAGACTGTCACCATCCCTGCCGATCTCCCCAACCGCAACTTCGTCCTCAGAACCGAGGTCGTCTCCATCCACAACAACGGCGCCGTCAGCAACCGTCAGTTCTGGCCCCAGGCCTTCAACATCAAGGTCACTGGTGGTAAGGATGGTGCCTCGGTCCCCGAGGGAAAGAGGGGAACCGAACTGTACTCTGCCAATGACCCTCTCCTCAAGTGGAACCTCTACTGGCACCAGCCCGACAAGACTTTCGAAGATGCTCCCGGCCCAGTGCTCGCTTCTGTTGCTTCTGTTGCCAACAAGGTCAGGCGCCATGCCCGCGACTTTTCCGCTTAGACAATCTTCTTCTTCTCCCTCTTCTCCCTCTTCTCTTCTTCTTCTTCTTCAACCTCTTACGGACATGGTTTTGGGGCGGGACAGGCGCATGCTACGGGGCAAAAAAGGTGTCGGGAAAAAACGCCTAGGATGGGTGTTGAACACTTTCTTCTTCTACTTGTTCTTTTCTCCATGGACTGGGACTCTCGGTCACAACGACGCTTGCGACATGAGTTTTTTACGATTCTCATTCTTGGATACATATATATATATATATATACTCTTTAGGCATCCTAGACGATGCGAATGCCAAATGCATTCTTTGGGCCTTGTGCTCTGACATGCGCTGCTTCTCCTGCTTCCGAGTGATGTCATGTCGTTGATGAAAACTCCGGAGCCCATACAGACTATCGCGATATCCGAAACTGACGACACGAATTTCCCGTCTTCCGCACAAGTACTGCAGAAACCGACTCTCCATGTGACTCCACTATGCCCAAGCCCCCCTAGATGTAAGTAACCCGGGAAATGCCGATCATCGCCATTCCCACTCACCCCCTTTACAAGTCCACGCCACCTACCTTTTCCACGACCGGCATACCTCGGCGCCACATAATGTAGTTGTCTTGTCCCCACAAAAATGTGTGCAAAAGGGAGGATAATGCAAACGTGAAACGACGGTATCTGAGCTTATCCACACCACGTTTTACACTGGCCAGTCGCTCTGAAAATCACGTGCTGGTGTCGGGGTATTTTGTATGGCAGGAGAACTCATTCCGTGGACTGTTCGGCGCGATCTGGGTATGCACATGCATCTGGGTCTAAGTGTGGTGATGGTGATGGTGAGACAGGAATGCCAATGTGTTGGCTGTATGGTTGCGTGGTTGACAGGGAGAGAAAAGCTCGGTTTTGGGTTTAACAACAGGTTTTACAATCGCAACATGAAATCGATCGAGTTGTTTGCATTGCAGAAGGCACGGTGCTATTCTGGAAATTGGTGACAAGTGTACGGGGCGCAGAATGTGTCTGGGTCAAGGTACCTGAAAGGCTAGCTTTGTTCGTTCGCAAGTACTTGCGTGTAAAGGCCAAGCTCTTCTTTTACTGCATTTTCTATACTGTCTGTGTACGAGTAACTCGGTCTACTGGTGTAGATGGCTGTAAAGGCATGACATGGTGTTGTAGCCGGTGCCAAGTACTCGAGATCTTCCGACCAAGCATCCCAAATATACGACTGTGTATATGCTGATATATGTTCTATTGGTGTATCCATCAGGCAGTCGTTCAGTCCGTTTAATCCACCACTGTAAGTGATTCTACACCGACATTCTGCTCTTTCTGCAATGAGTCATGAACAATGGTCATGGTCAAGAGTACAGCTATTTATCCGTCATGGAAATGACAAGCTGCTGAGTCGTGTAACAAGCTGCATCATTCAATATCACTCAGATGTGAGTGGTAGTGGGTCCGGGTACTGAGTTGTGGTGTCATTGTAGTTGGAGGTTTGCCAACCCCGCTTTCGTATCAGGTATCACAACCCCGCTCTCAGCATGCCTCGGCCTATGCAAGCTCAGTTATACTTTTTGAATCAACAATACATAATGTTTGTTTTTGAGTAATTGAGCAATTCGCATACAGCAGAAATGGTTTAAGGGTAAAATCCAAGCTTCCCATGTTTCTACATTGTCTGCTTGGGCTCCGGGTAGGTTTTTTCCGTCCTATATTTGACGATCTCGGCTGAGATCACATGGCAGGTTCGAGTCCCGGTTTCTGCAAACCTCATTTTCTTTTTTCTAGGTATCTTCTTCTTATATCTAATAACGTGTTTCACCAGTAAGCGGGCCACCCCAGTATGTGGGCCACCTCCCCAAACTTTTACATCTTTGTAATAGTATTGCGCAACACCACCACAATATTTTTTATTAAGTAGAATAAGATATTATTCTTTAGACGCATTGCTATCCTCTATATCCTCTAATTCTACTTAACAAGTGCGAGAGTTGTGTCCAATTTAGCTGCAACGCCCGCAGCGCCGTTCACTACGCACCCTCTTCGCAGACGTTGCACCATCATTATAGCTACTACCCTCTGCCTTAGCAATCTAATTAGCTATCTAGCTAACTGTCTAGGACCCCTCTGCCTGTACGTAGCGCCTCTTACGAGTTTTTCACTTTGTTACTTTAGTAATCGTAGCTTTAAGGCGATTAAGTTTCTCCTGTATTAACACTATATTATAAGCTATCTGCTAAGCTCCCTTACTTAACTGCTATATCTGCTCCTTAAGAGAACTTATAGGAGACCCTTACTAGATTTGCATATAGTTTTAAATAAGCGTAGCCTGCGCCTCTATTTCGCGCGCGTTGCGCGGCGTTTTCGGCTCCTAAGCAGTAGTCTCTTGCGCTGGTGGAGTTGGCGTACGCAGCATGACGTTAAGCTGTGATAAAACAACGTTATAATTGTGCGGTGAAAGTCTAGCACCTTAGAACCCTCTGCGGATATTTTCTAGTGTAATAGCCTTATAATAGGCCTTTTTAAACGCTAGTAGGAAGGTTTCTTTGCTAATATAGTAGATGCGATTGCGTGCTAAGACTAAGATAGCATCACCATACGCGCGCTTTAACGGCGAGAAGCAGCCCACATCAAGAGGCTGTAAGAGGTGCGACGAGTGGGGAGGCATACAGAGGAGGATTATCTTCATCTCCTCGCAGAGATCTCGGAAATCCACCGAGCAGTGGCTCTCATGGCCGTCAATAATAAGCAGCCTATGCGTCCCCACAGGCCGCGCATGGGAATCAAAGTGACGAAGCCAGTCAAGCGCTAGATCGTTGTTCGTCCAGCTAGTAGGACTAACTTAGATCACCTAGTCGCGTGGCAGATCCTCTGTAAACTAGGTAGAGATCAGAACCTTGCTAGCGAAGATAAGAAACGCTAGGATACGCGTGCCTGTTGCGCCAACGCCTTGTATCAGCATAACCCACTCACGATTGCCTGGCTGGATCTTCTTTGTTCTCCCTAGTTTGTCTAAGCCTGTGATAACTAACTGTGATAAAATCTTGCCTATAATAAAGCCAGTCTTATTAAAGTTATAGATATCTTCGTCCACGATACCATACTTTGCCTTTATATTCTAAACTAGCTTAAACTAGCCCTTAATAAGCGCTAGGTCTTCGCAGAGAGCTCGCTGGTGATTGTATGGACGGCTCTAGCGCGTACGCAGCTCAGGATTGCGCTGGACAAACCTATCAACCCAGTTCTTGCCCACCTCCTTCCCGCCACGCTCTTGGAGCAGTTTGTTGGCCATATCTCGCACGTCGTCTTTCCCACAGGGTAGTCCTCGCTTAGCCTCGACTATTACACGCATAGTAATAGCCTCCTCTTCTAGTTTTGTTAGGCGCCTTGCTGGTGGCTCCCAATCGCTTTGAGGGCGCTGTCTAGCTCGTCGACGCTGGATTGTTGTTCGTGGGACGCTATAGGCGGCAGCAGCGCGTCGTTTACTCTAAATTTATTTAGAATTAAGATTAGTAATAGCAAGAAATAGATCTGCTTTAGTATAAGTTTTTAACGCGTTGCGTTGTTAAGACATTACGCGTTGTTGTTGCAAATGTGGGATATCATAGGGAAGTGGCCCACATACTGGGGTGGCCCGCTTACTGGTGAAACACGTTAGGTGTTATATATATTTAGTTGTGTGTAACAAGCTTATATAACAACTAAACTTACTACGTTACACAATCTTATCTACCCTCTTAGCAATAGTAGATAAAAAGACAAGTCCTATATAAGGAGTAACAGAGTTTGTACTTAACATAGGAGAGGTAAAACAAAAAGTAGTGGCGTATATTATCTCGTCTACGTACAAGTTCGACATAATCCTTAGAAAGACCTAGTTAGAAGAGATAGACAGAGTACTATACACTGCCAAACACCGCCTACTCCTACAACGCTACGGATTCTCCGTATAAAGTAGGGAGAGCACCACGCCTACGTAGATAGACTATGCTACTATTACTACTACTGCTTTCTAACTACACGTACAAAGAAATAGAAGACAGAAAGTAGTGTAGGTATTCGTAGCTAGTCTAAAAGATATTAAGAAAGCTCTCTATCTAAAAGTAAAACTCACGATAGATAAAGTAAAGAAAGCCCTCCCTACCTACCTTAAGAACCACGCATAGCTTTTCTTACTAAAAGAGGGAGCAGAGTTACTACTCTACTAAGGCCTAGACGTAGACTATAAAATTAAATTAATTCCCTAAGATGGCAAGCTACTAGAGATCCCGTACGGACCGCTTTATAGCATGTCTAGAGACAAACTACTACAGTGCCCGTGCACCAGATGAGCACCATCGCCAGTTGAGCACCCCCAACAACTCAATATAGTCAACAAGATGAGGCTGTAGAGCCACCACAAATCGTAATAAAATTGCGCAAAGCTAGGATTATACTATATACAGGCCTACGAAAGTTTTGGCTTATTCAGAAATTTTTTTGGAGGGCGTTATCGGTCGTTGCCGTCGACTACGCGGTGGAGCAGCTCGTGCAACCCTTGCGGCTCCCACCACAGCTGGAGCAACACCACCACACTTTTTGACGCTTTGTAGCTGGCTTATGAGGTTTTGACGCTTTGCGCTTACCCGATTGGGGGCAATTGTATAGCTTTGGCAGCGTCGCGGAGGCTTCTACGATGCTCTCTTTCGGCTTTCTCTGCAGCCTTCCGCTTTCTGGTCTCCTCC